CCAGATTGCTTTCATAGTGGATTAGTTAAAATTACAAGGCGTAAATATATAAAGAGGGACTAGAGGCGAAAGTTCAAATAGAAGAAACGTATAAAAATGGTCAAGAATAAAGGAACAAATTACAGAAAAAACAATGGATAAATTTAGTTCAAGACTATATACTCCGTTTCGGGCGTAGAGGCAACACTCTCAACAACCGAAACTTTATTTAAGGTTTAAGCATATGCTCCAGTAGAGTCATTCGAGTTGTCATGCATCCAGATAGAAAAGAGTCAAAATATTAATAAAAAGCCTCCTAGCACTTTCTAGCCACGAATGAATAAGCTGAAATTATGAAGATTAGGAGAGATTAAAAATTAGAAAGGATAAATAATGTAATTTTCTTAACAAATGAGCCAAAATAGAGGACATCCAAGTTTAAATAGACCAATCAACTTAATCATGCTTTACCCGGATGGCGCTCAATAATCTGGACTACATCTCGTCGGTCCATCAACCCTAAAAGGGTCTGCAACGAGCCCTGGAACCAAGATTTCGCGTTTTCTGTCAAGAGATCGGCCTTCTTGCAGACCTCGGAGTCGACGTCACCTCCGGCAACACTCGTCGATTTGGCTACTGGGAGGCTGGCTGAGAGAACGATGGTTGGCGCACGTCGTAGCAGTTGATCAGGCTGAGTGACTCCTAGGCATGATAAGGGCTGCAGGAAGCTGGCATGCAAATGAGCCGGCCGAAGAAGCTGCCGGCGCAGTATCAGGTCGTCCGCAATAACTTGATCTGTAGAAAGAAGATCTGACAAAGAATAAAGTTATTTTCGGGAGTCAAGGGGGTATAACTGTCTTAGTGATAAATAAAAAATTGAAGTAATAAAATTTGAAAGTAAAATTAAGCAAAAATTTATTATATTAATAAATAATCATAACAGCAAAGGAGATTATTTCAATTCACTTGCTGATAGTTAATGATGATAAGGTAAAATAGAGGGAACCAAAAAAAAGCGATCTGGGGATAGTGGATCCGTTACAAAATGTTTGTTTTTTCTTATATTTTTAGCCACTCGAATATTTTTAAACTGATGTGAAGCCCGTATAAGTAGAGGCACCATCATATCTTGA